TATCTTCCTGCCATTTTGCCTGTCTGGTCACTGTGACATTTTTAACATGTTTCAGGTCCAGTTAATAAAAAACATTATTGCCTTTCTTTTGTTCCTTAAAATGAGTGTCTCTAGACAAGGACTGTGCCATATTCATTTTTGTGCAGGCACACCTCAGTGATACTGCTGGTTTGGATCCAGAACACTATAGTAAAGCCAAGTTTCATTAAAATGACTCACATGCATGTGTTTGTTTCACAGTGCTCATAAAAGTTATGTTTACACTATACTGTAGTCTATTAAGCACAATGGCATTATTATCTTTAAAAACAACGTATGTGCCTTACCAAAATGTTGCATTGCTTAAAAATCATCTGAACCTCATCATCTGAATGTCAGGCAAAGTCATACTTGTTCTGTTGGTGGAGGTTCTTGATTCCAAGTTGATGGCTGCTGACTGGTCAAGGTGGTAGTTGAAGGAAGGTGGCAGTGGTAATTTCTTAAAGTAAGGCAGCAGTGAACTTTGCCAAATCAACTCACTCTTCCTTTCATAAAACATTTCCCTATAGTAAGTGATGGTATCTGATAGCATTTTATCAATGGTAGATTTTTTTTTTCAAAATTGGACTCATTCCCCTCAAACCCTGGCACTGCTTTACCAACTAAATTTATGTAATATTCTAAATCCTGTGTTGTCATCTCAATATTCACAGTATCTTCACCAGGAGTAGACTGCTTTTGAAGAAACTTCTTTCTTTGCTTACTCATAAAAAGCAACTCATCATCTATTATAGTTTTTTTTTTCCATGAGATTGTAGCAATTTAGTTACATCAGTAGGTTTTAACTCTAATTCTAGTTCTCTTACTGTTTCTACCACATCTGAGATTACTTTCTCCACTGAAGTCTTCTCCTGAATTCTCCACCCCCACAATCAAAGCAATCCATGAAGGTGGAAATAAACTTCTTTTAAAATCCTGTTAATATCAATGTTTTCACATCTTTCCATGAATCATGAATATTCTTAATGGCATCTGGAATGATGAGTTCCTTTCAGAAAGTTTTTAACTTTGTCCAGATTCATCGGAGGAATAGCTATCAATAGCAGCTATAGTCTTGAGAAATATTTTTCTTAAAAAAATGGACTTGAAAGTCAAAATTACTTCTTGATCAATGGAATGTAAAGTGGGTGCAGGCATGAAAACAACATTCATTCTTGTACATGTTTATCAGAACAGTAATATTTTGAAATGAATCTTTTTCTTTAGCACTTCATTTCAATAGTGGGTTTAAAATATTCAGCAAACCATCTTGTAAACAGGTATGCTATCATACAGGCTTAGTTGTTCCATTTATAGAGTATAGGTAAATTAGATTTAGCATAATTCTTAAGGGTTCCAAGATTTTCAGGGTGGCAAATGAACACTGACTTTAACTTAAACCCACCAGTGGCTAATATTAACCTCAAACAAGAATCAACCAATCCCTTGAATCTCTGAAGCCACAAATTGACAATCTGTAGCTATGAAGGCCCCATATGGCATCTTCTTTCAATAGAAGACTGTTTTGTCTACATTGAAAATCTATTGTTTGTCAATGATCTTAGCTAAAGCTTCTAGATAATTTGCTACAGCTGCTACCTCAGCACTGTGTTTCATTTTGTACTTTGATGTTATAGAGACTTCTTTTACATTTCCTCTGAAGCTTTCTCAACCTGTCAGTCATCATAAAACTGAAGAGAGTGAGGGATATTCCTGGATTAGGCTTTAGCTTCAGGAAATGTTTGTAGTTTCTATCAAGACCACTAAAACTATCTTTATATCAGTAATAAGACTGTTTCTCTGCTGTCTTATCAGTACTGTGTTTATGGAGTAGCACTTTTAATTTCCTTCAAGAACTTTTCCTTTGCATTTACAACATGATTACCTGGTACAAGAGGCCAAGCTTTTGGCTTATCTCAGCTTTCAACATGCCTTCCTCACTAAACTCAATCATTTCTTGCTTTTGATTTAAATGGAGAGATATGTGACTCTCCCTTTACTTGAACACTTAAGTTCATTATAGGGTTATTGACCTAATTTCAATATTGTTTTTTCTCAGGGAATAAAGAGATCTGAGGGCAAGGAGGGGATGATCGGGGTTGCATTCATAAGGACACACACCATTTATCAGTTAAGTTCACCATCTTACTTGGGTGCAGCCCCCAAAAGTTATATTTATTTGTAGTCTATTAAGTGTGTGTAACTCACATCACAGATATAATAGTAATGAAATATTTGACATATTGTGAGAATTACCAAAATGTGACAGAGAGAAGAAATGAGCTTATGCTGTTGGAAAAATTACACCAACAGACTGGCGTGAGGCTGGGTTGCAATAAACCTTCAATCGGTTAGGAAAAAAAAGTATATCTGTGAAGTGCTGATATTTTATTGCACTGTAAAGCAAAGAGCAATAAAACATATGCTTATACTCCAGCCACGGTAGGTGGCTTCAGTGTCATAGAAACTTCTATTAGATCCCTACTCCTATGTAATAGTTTGCCACAAACTTAGAAGCTTAAAACAATACACATTTATTATCTCAGTTAAGTCTAGGCATGTTATGACTGGGTTCTCTGAAATGCATCTCACTGAGATGAAACAGATCTGATGGAGAGGAATGTAGTTCTCATCTGGAGCCCAGGACTCTTTCCTAAGCTCATTGATTATTGAAAAAATTCATTATCACTGAAGCTGTAGAACTGATATACCCACTTTCTGCTAGTTGTTGAACTAGCATTCTCAGCGTTTAGAAATCTACCATTTCTGGCCATGTGATTCCACAAGGCTGTTTACAATGTTGGTATTTGCTTCCTTATAGACTAGCTAGTGCACATCTCTGATTTCCTTTTCTGCAACCAGCCAGAGAGAACTCTGCTTTTAAAGAGTTACTTGATCAGATCAAGTCCACCCAGGAAAATCAGGGTGCACTGTATTTTTAATACTTTATGTAAAGTATTATGTAATGGTGAAGAATATTTTGTCTTATGATCGTAGACATCTCTCCATTTATGGTCAGAAGTGAATTTGCCCCAAGATATTAAAACCTGATAAAACTACCATCTCATAATAAGTTGAATTAATTCAATTGATGATAACTGAATAATAGTAAAGGCAGACCTCAAATATTGCAAATCAATTCACAAACTATGTGCAAAACAAGTTGAGAATCAGATATGCATTTTGGGGGTTTAACTCCTTTGTTTTTCTCAAATGAAGCATCTTTAACTAGGAGAATTACTCTCTTCTAACGAGGAAAATGAGCTCTCATTTTGAACAGGTAATATTAAATTTCACTGAAATAAGCTCTTACAGGTATATTTGTTAAAACATTTCTTTATTGACTGTGCAGTTATTAACAATTCACATTTCATTTTTATGTACTGAGTAGAAGAGCATTTATTCTTTCATTAAAAAGTTAAGCCTTCAGGGCAGCAGCAGGGACTCAGAGCTCTTTTCCATAAATGGCACTGTCCAGTGACTCTTAAGTGCTTTTATATTAATAAAAAAGGGAAAAACAAATTAACTTCTCCTGCTCTCCATCATCCCCTCCCTGCCAATTTTACTTTACAAAGTGTCAACAGGTGAACAGTTCTCACACTAGTACTTCGATCAATCTGAAGAGATATGTCAACATTTATTTGGCACCGCTGAATTCAGAACATCTTTAGGTCTGCAAAAAAGTGACAAAAGAAATCCTGGGGACCTGGTCATTTCCCCAGAAAGATGCCATGTGGACAGAGAGGGTAGAAGATCTTGAGAGCCCTTCATTAGCCTCCAACACTTTGCTGCTCAAGTTTCTGGAGCTGTTTTTCAAGTGTTGAGATGTTTACTTGATGCATCATCAGAAACTGGCCATTCAAGTGAAAGACTGGGATGTCAAATTTATATCTTTCATACCAAGCAGAATTTTCTGGGAGTGTGATGTCAACTTCCTGTAAAATAAACTGAAAACAAAGACAGATTAAAGGTTTAGATTTTAGAGAACATGAAGCAATGCAATGATTGTAATGACAAATCAATCCCTGGAATGGTGGGAATGGTGAGGGATTTTTCTTGTTTTGTGTTGTTGTTAGTCCAAACTGATTGAATGATCGAATGTTCCTGATTTCCACAACTTTATTTTTTTAAATATTCCCTAACTCCTGATAATGCTACCTTTCTGTTATTCCTGCTACACTCAGGGTCAGGGCAAGAGTCAGTTCTCAGTGAAATAATGTGTTCCAATGGTGAAGCTGCCTAAAAATCAGGTGTATTTTGGTTATAAGAATGGGATAGGTGTCACAGTTTGGTACAGGAAAATACTTCTAGGGAAATGACAAAATAAAAAGAATAGAAAGTTTCAAGGAAGTATAAGTATTATTCCTGCTTGTTAACTTTGACTCATATTAAGAGTCAGAGTGAGCAAACCAGTACTGCTCAGAGGAAAAACACTTAGGGGTAATGAGTTTTATGGAAATCAGCACTAAAATGTCTCAGAAGAATAGAAAGAAAATTTAAATGAAAAATCATTTAATCTCTTTTCCTAAAGAAAGGATCCAGGCAGATACTTTATACCTCATACACTATCCATTGTACAGACATAAAACCACACTGTATTATATTACCCTGTTTTTATAAGGCTTCAGTACTTCCTTGGCTTCATCACAAAGGGGGCAAGGATCCTGTAGGAGGAAAAAAATAAGGCCATTAAACCTAAGGAATGGAATGCGGACTGACAAAAACTACCCAAAGCATATTACACTTATTTTAAAGGACAGTTTTCTACTAGGTTAATTATATTGTTTATTTCGAAAACAAAACACTATCATGTAATCTTGTAAATAGCTTTATTTCATGGTAAATGGGCTCTCAGCATTTTGTAGCTGTTTTGCTTTGATTTTTCTCCAACACAAATACATCTAATAAATGTAGATGCTTGTATTTGCTACATGCGTGTGTGCATATAAATATATATATATAGGCCAATGTATAAACACATAGATATATATCTAACAAGTATAAACACCTATAGTTTCTGGATAGGCAGGTAGGTAGACAGATACACACACATATATAACACATTTAGCTAATTACAATTATGTTTTTTGTTACTGTCTTCATCCAGTTGATATCTGAGAAGATTATTTTTCCCTACTCTGTAGTGTTAGGGCTTTGTCCTTACATCAGGAGCACCTTTTTGGCCTGGCTAACATTACCATATAGCTTAAAGTCTGTTCTGACTGGGATGCACTAAACTTTGCCAGCTTATTTCTATTAATTAGGACACAGAATAAATCTACTGAGTTGGAGTCAGAGACTGCTCCATCTTTAAAAAGGAAAAATCCACTGATATGGATAATGATTATAGCAACCAATTAATGATTTCTCTGTTTTGTTTTTTTTTTTAACGATTTATTTATTTTGTGCATACAGAACTGGGGTACAGGCCAGAGGCTCAGGGGCGGTGAGAGGCTTCACCAGAGACAGAGTGGGGAACAGAACAGGCAGATTGATGAAGTACACTGCTGAGAGGAGCAGCGGGCGGGTCAGGAGAGGTCTGCCACACCATGTGGTCACCTCTGGGGCAGGTGGGAATCGAACTCATGCGGAAGCGGCTTTTAGATTCTCAGGGCTGTGCTTTAACCTGCTGCGCCACCAGGGAGGGCCATGACTTCTCTGTTTTTTAATTTCATGTCAACAATAGTTTTCTCAGGCCAACTCTTCATCCAAGGAACATGCAGATTTCTAGTGTCCATTGTTGCTTATATTCATTTAGCCTTTGTGGAGAACTCTGTCAAGTATCCTGTGGACATCTGGCTAACTTTAAAGATTTTTCAACCCTTGACTCTGTGAACAAGGACTAGCTATCGGTTCTCTTGCATGAGCTCTAAATACATTCAACACTATTGATGCTTATATAAAACTTGCTTTTTAACATGACAAGAAGAAATAAATTGTTACTGTCAAAGAAAATCTTTCTTCCAGTTTAACTCAAAGTTTGTCTGGAATAAGACCTCAGTTATCAAAAGGCAGTTTTCCTTCAGAAGGCTTTTTCTAGCCCTAATTTCCTGGCTGAGAGAATTGTGCTGATCATGTCATCATTAGCATCGTCAATAAATGCACCACAGTCAGTGATATTTTAAGATATTTAAGATATTTTAAGACATTTGAACTTGTCTGAGAAACTTTCAGAAGTTAACAGAGGAACTTAAAAATAAAAACAAGAATAAGATAAATTGCAGAGGTATAAATGTAACATTTTGCTTTTACATTAAAAACTTTAGTAGAGTCTAGATCAAGTTCTGTTTTGCTTTTTAAAACATGGAAGTCTATACAAATTATCACATGTTAATGTATTTTTATGGGGAAAGGTTTATCAAATTTTAAGGAGGTCTATAAAAAGGATAAGACTGAGTGAGTAAGTCACTCAGTCCTCTATAATCTTCCATAGCACCAATGGAGCACTTATTTTCTCTCTGAACTATAACATATTTGTTGGGTTGGCTATGTACCACTCACTCTCCTTTCTTGTAGCAAGAATGCTGTCTTCTTGCCTCAGAAGCATTGGTTTCAGTATGTGGCAGACTCCACATAAAACAAGGGAGGAACACCGGAGTTAGGCTGAGACAGTTGCAAATCCTATGCCTCTTAGTTAAGAATACCTCCAGTCGACCAATCAGAGTCAATGGACCACATGAGTTTTCTGCTGGTAGAAGTTTGAGATGTGTGATCTGGAGCTGAAATGGTAGCAGTCATCCAAGTGTAGAGCCAGAATGAGGACATATCTAATCCAGAGGATAAGGAGCTGAAGAGATTGGTAACATACTTAGTTTCTGACTCAAACTACTCCTGAAACAAGACCAACCCAAAAAATCCCCTTTTTGTTTAAGCTACTCTGGGAAGTACATTCTATTATTTAGAAGTGAAAGAAACCTGATAATTTCTTTTTCACTGGATTGTGAATTCATGAAGGTGAGAGTGACATTATATGTCTAATGAAACAAATCAAGCGCTTAATACACATTTTAAGCTGAATGGAAGATTAATAGTGCATTTTTTTTTTTTGGTAAATGTTTTTAGCAAACTTGTCTGTAGCTCCCATTAAAAAATAGTGTAAAATAGTTAGGCTGTGTGAGTACCACTAGCCTTAAGAATTATTTTATTTTTGTTGTTAATTCTCACGTACATTACTTACATGTAGACACAGATAACGAAAGATTTTTGTTCCGTTCTTTTGAACAATGCAATATATGCTTATGTATATGGAAGAGTAGTTTAGATTAATTATTCTTAACAAGAAATTCATTAAAAAAACAAAGTAAGCTTTGCTGTAACTGTTAGATATCTTCAAATTACTAAATGCTTGAAATCCAAAGAAATGTATTAAGAGTCCTTTTTTGTTTGAATTATATTATTCATTAAAGTTAATTCTATTACCATGAACTTCTTTCTCTTATTATAAATCACACAAAGTAATGTAACTAGTAAAAGGATATCAGTAATAAGATTTAGGGGATAAAGCTCTTAAAATACTTAAACTCTTATGGCATAAAACTAGTATTAAGGATAAGAAAGCAAGTATAATCAATCCTCATTAGCTGTGAATTCTGTATTTGTACGTTTTTCTATTCAGTAAACCCTATTTGTCACCTCTAAATCAATACTCAGGCACTACACATTCGCAGAGGTGTGTGTGCACAGGTCAGTATGAGAGAGCCGTGTGGCCTGATGGGCTCATTCCCAGCTGACATGATTCTCTACCTTCTTGTTTCACTTCTCATCCTGCAAATCAAGTGCCACATTCATGATCTATTTAGTACCACTTTTTTGCATTTTTGTTGATGATTTTTCTATCTTAAATGGCCTTCAAGCATAGCACTAAAGCTTTTGGCTTTTCTAAACAAAAGGTTGTGATGTGCTTTGTGGAGAAAATAAGTATGTTAGATAAGCCTCATTTAGATATGAATGAGAGTACTGCTGGATATAAGCTGAATGTTAATGAATCAACAATACATATTGAATATGTTGTCTTTAAACAGAAACACATATGAAACAAGGTCATGTATTGACTTGTTGACAACCAGATATTGGAACCAGATACTCAAATGAATCTAACCATTATTTTCGTTGGGAGCAATGGTCCAATATTCATTTATCCAGTGGTTAGACAGACTTATAGAATATCACAAATAAGAAAACAGACTATATTTCTAAGTGATAATTTATAAATACCATATTATAATCTGATCTTCTTTTCATTGTAGAGGTCAAATGACTATTAAATAAAATAATTTGTCCCTTGTGACTTGTAAGACCATAAGACAGGAAACAGAATTATAACTGTTGTAATTGGAACTGAGAAACTGAGGATCAGGTCTGAAGAAAGTTTATTCCATTGCCTTTCCTTTCAACATTTTTTCCTTCTTAAATGTATATTTTAGTACCCAACAGTTTTAATACTTTATGTTTTGAAAGTGATAATTTACTTTAATATTCAGTGCCTCAGTACCTTTGTGAATAAGGTCAGCACGGGCAGAGCAGTCTTAGCAGCAGAGAGATTTCTTGAGAAGAGTCCAAAGGAGTATTTGGCAAGTTGGATGCCATTTCCTTGAAACCAGAGCATTTTCATTCTGCCAAAAGAAAAACAGAACGGTAAGCTTATGTGTCCTCCTTACAATATAAACAGTAAGCTGCAAGTCTATGATGAAATTTGAAGCCTTCAGAATTGATTCTTGGGGTCCAGGCATTAGAGAGACCTAGATGTTCAACGAGTTTCCATATTGCATCAACATCTCTGGTATTCCAAACAAAACAGAATTTAGAATGGGAAAAAAAATACATATTTATGGATTAGCTGTTTGCTTAATTACTTGGTGGTTTCAGTAAGCAAACTGCAAGGGGTTTGTTAATTTGAATATAAAATTAAATTTCACCTGCAGATTTTGCTTGCATCTTGGTGATCCCTTAAAATGCAGAGGATTCCTGAGATGGTTTTTCTTCATAGAGATAGCTTACATTATTGGCAGGCATTAACATTATTAAATCATCATCACAGGAAAGGAAACAATAAAAAAGCAGCACAGGTCCGAGCTGAAGGTGAAGACGATCTCATATGAAATCTATGACCCGCTGGTGCAAGAGATGGGGAAATACAGAGCTGTACTTAGAGCATAGTCTGGAAGAATTGGGCTCAATTAAATTGTCAAAAATAAAAACCGGGGCCCTCCCTGTGGTGCAGCGGGTTAAAGCACAGTACTAAGAAGCTAAAGCCGCTTCAGCATGAGTTCAATCCCGCCTGCCCCAGAGGTGACCCACATGGCGTGGCAGACCTCTCCTGACCCGCCCGCTGCTCCCCTCAGCAGTGTACTTCGTCAATCTGCCTGTTCTGCTCCCCACTCTGTCTGTGGTGAATCCTCTCACCGGCCCTGCACCTCTGGCCTGTACCCCAGTTCTGTATGCACAAATAAATAAATCTTCAAAATAAATAAATAAAAAAAACCTACTCAATATCTTTAGAATTATTTTAAAAGGAGCTTGCCATCACTTTTGATAATATAACCATTTATTAGTGTTCCTACTGGAGGTGTTTCAGTGAGAACAACTTGGCTCTAGCTGCATACCAAGCATGACCCTTTTAAATTTCCTCATCTTGCTGCTTCACTCTACATATTACTTATTTGTACCCATTCTACTGAATTTCCATCTTTGTCTGTTTTGTTCCAAAATTGAGATAACATTGGTTTATAACACTGCACAAGCTTTAAACTATAAATATCCTTGTACTTATAATTTAATTTAAAACTTATTGTTATAAATTTAAACAAGACTATAAAGATGTTAATTTCTTTAAAAACACAAAATGTTATTTGATTTTTATCATTATCAATTTTACCAAGATGAATTCATTCTTGGGATCTTCACTTCTTACTGTCTCTTTATTCCCTCCACCGTCATCTGCTACTTTCTCCTCCCTTACTTCCTTTTTTGTTTTTGAATACCTAAAGATCATTTCTTCATTAGGATCTCTGCATCTACTTTATTTCTGCAAGGACAACTCTTAAACAGCATCTGCTTATTTGGCCTGGGCTCATTTCACCTACTGAAAGACACCTTAATGACTATCATAACCATGCTGGTCATCTCATCATTCTCTGCCCTCTTATCTTTCTATAAAGATTTCTTTACCCTTCACCATTTAAAATTATATCTCTACTTATATGTCCTATAAGACCATAGGAGCAGAGAGTTGTTCACTCAATATTCCTGGGCATTTGCAATTAACTTGGCAGAGGGTAGGTGTTCAAATATTTGTTGGAATGTTAAATATACTAGAATGAGCCTTTCTCTTCTTAAATCTCACTTCTACCTCTAATCAGAAACTCAGTATACACCGTAGTCTCTATTTAGACAGATCTCATATCATAACTAAAGGTTAGTCCACAAGATTGCGCGCCAGGCTACTACAGCTGGCCCTAACTCCTTCACCGCCACCTGGGATCTCACCCTCTTCTGCTTCACAGAGCATGACTGTATTAATTAAGTGCTAATCTCCACTGATAGTCAGACTCCTCTGTGTAAGATTAGCATTAACACATTTCAAACAGAATGATAATGACTATGGAGGAAAACACCAATCCATACCAAACTAAAAACAAAGTACAAAATGATAGTACCATGATCCACGAAAACAGTAATCTTTCTTTCATTCTTCTACCCTCGGTCTTCTACTTCTCCCTAGATATCTCTGCTAACTAAATGATCCTGATAATGCATAAAAAGGAATATGATAATTCTGCAAGGCTCTGCAGCCCAGCATTATTCAAAAGGTTGAAAGTAGAGCTAAACAATTTTATAGAATGCCATGCTGCTCTCAATTAAGTGTTAAGCCCTGGTACACATTTTCCATAAATTCAGCAGAATCAAGAATTCTAGATGAATGTGGTTAGAGACAATAGCTTCTAAATCTGGCTTTCTCTATATAGTATATAAATTGGGTTGAAAGTAGAATGTTAGCCTTGATTACATTAGGTAGAAATTTCTGCATCGCTGGTTTTGAGAAAGCTCTACACCAGTAGTGGAATACTGTCTTAGGATGTGGAGTTAAAGAAGTTACACTACACAGAGAATTTTAAAATTAGGTTAGAGTACAGGCAGAAAGAAAGCCCTTAGACATGAGAAGGATCAGGCTGTCTATGACAGTGATCTAAGACTATCACTACAACTACTTGCTTTTAGTGAAGGAATTTAAGATTTATGTCTGCTGGTAAGGGAAGACTTATTGCTTTTACCTAGATGAATGGAGACTGAGGTGTTAAGGCTTAACCAAAAAAAAATATAATAATAATAAAAAAAATCACATTCACAATGGAAATCTGCTTCAGTATTTCCAACACGACAAAACATAGCATGTGGTCTTGTTGCACCCAAGACAAATAAAACCTGTCATAGTAAACAGAGTTACTGTTTATTCCAGATTTGCTAGAATATTTGTTCAACCAATCGAGAGAGCTAAGTATTCAGTGATGTCTCCAACCATTCCATTTCCAAATAGTTCTGTTTTTTACTGTTAATCTTCATTTCTCCTTTCTTACAAGTATTTAATCACTTAACCATAGCACATGTTTACTGAAAAGTACATTACAATTATGCATTTTTACTACCTGCATATTTTTCAAGTGTCCTAAGGCACATGTGTTTTGCCCTATTGTTAAATTATTTCTTGGTAAGCACTTTATTAAAAATTTTATTAGAGTATGATTTAAGGAAAGCTCCATATAACTTTCCTAGGCACAGTAAGATACTAAGGCTAAAATTCTGAACACTTGAGTACACTTAATTATAAAAGGTAAATTAAAAATGATACTCTAATTGGAACTATGTAATATTCTACTTATACTATTTTACTAACTGTAAACCCAAACGCCATTGCTGTCAATGTCACATTCACCAAATTATGCCTTCTTGAAGTAATATCTTAATATGGGCTACTCTGTCAATGTGATGTTTTCATTAGTTCTATTATTTTTGAAAGGTATCTCAGCACTAAATAAAAAAAATTCTGAAAAGGCAGTCTCTCTGCCTCCTAATTCAGGACTGTGAGGGGACACCTTTTTTATTAAGTCATTGAATTTAGTCATGAGATGTGTATCTTTACTATACACACAGACACAATTTTATCCTTGGCATTTTGTTATAGGCCTCTGTGATATAAGCAGAAAGAGCTATGTTCATCATATCAAAGAATCACAATTGGGTCACCTTTGTCAGAGACCAAAAATAAAAAGAAAAAAGTAAAAGGCAGAAGACTGGATTTAGAATGTCCTAAAACAAATTCCACAGCCGAACAATAAAGATGGTGACTCCTGCTGTTTCAAGTCCAGGGCTGCTCAGAGGCATGGCATCTCCCTGAAAGAGAAAGAGAATGCTAGCTTTTCAACAAAACTGATGCTGACTTCAGTGGTCTTTATGGCAGCATCAAATACAACATGGGGGGAGGACTGATTGGACCAATTCAGTCCTCCTTGAAGCAAGATAAGATAACTTAACTTTATAGCATTTTCCCTGCAAAGCACTGAAGGGCATACCATTACCACAACTGATTACAGTACAGAAAGAAGCCAGGGTCATTTGAGCCTTTATTAAGGATTATTCATTTCTTGCATGAGGAGCTGCCCAGGCTATGGCTGCACATCACTTACATGGGGCTCCTGGATTCTTCAAACGCTGTGTGTGTCTGATTAGAAGGGAAACAACATTGTTCTCACTTGAGCAGAGAAACTGACCTTCACTGACCAGAATTTTTATTCATACAAAGAATCCTTTGGCACACTGAGTCTCCAAGCTCACATGATCTCTCATCAGCAAGCTGCAGTGTTAGTTCATGTGCAAAATAGCAAAGTCTATATAAGCCCAGGTACTGCCTTAGCTATTAATAGGTAATGTTAGAGTTTCTTCATAAGAATATAATGTAAATTTAATGCTGAGCTGACATTAACCAAACACTGTTACCGTAGCTCTTGCTGAACCTGTGTTCCATAAAGAGGCTCAGGGCTTCTGTTTAGTCATTTGTGCCATGTGAGATGTTAAGTGCTCCATTTCACATTTACTACCATCTAAGTATAATGTTCCCATTCTTATCCAAGTTACTAGATAAACGCATGTGCACTCACACACACACACACACACACACAAACTCTAATAGAAACAAAATGTTAGATTACTGAAAGTTTGTAGAGTGTGGTAAGGTTGCTTTTACTCATCTCAGTCACTGCGCTCTATATAGCTCAAGGAAATGTGGAGAGATGATGCCTCCTCTGTACTTTTGGTCAGTCAGCTGTGTCCAGACCTCCCTCTCTCCCAAAAAAGTGGAACCTAACCTGGGACTTTGGGTGCAAGTATAGGGCCAAGAGTGACAAAGAGGCAGCATAGAGGGACAGAACTGAAACGGAAAATTAAGCAAATGCTTTGAGGTATCAATTTTAAGGAACTAAGCAGAGATAGAATGAGGCTATGGAACAGAAACAGGAAGTGAGGGCTGGAAAGACCAATATATGTGGGATCCTCACTCACTGCATGAGTGCATGGGTGCTCTTCCAGCCCCTCAGCCTCAGTACCTGGGTAAGAAAGTGGAGCTTACTGACAAGATGTTGCAACAAAGATCCTGTGCTACATAGGACCCACCTGCAAGTCCACCCGGCATCCTGTTCAGCTTTACTGTGAATGTGCAGTTTGGACTGATGCTTTGATCCTGCATAAACACATGAAGCCACAAATAGACCTACATCATGCCCTGACCCTAGGGAGCAAGCAGCAGCTCCTCATACCACATGTCCCGTGCACTACAATCCCTGCAGTTTTTACTTCCAATTTCAGTGCCAATAGGTTCACCACACAAAGGTGAGAGAAGTCAATAGAAAATCTCAGAAAGGCATGACTGGCCACATCAGTGCCTGGAGACAACCCCCTTTTTTACTTCGCTTTGATTCATTACCATGACTGTGGAATTTCCAAGTAACTGGATATCTCTATTCCACTTGGTACTCAATTGGTGCTATGCTAATTTGTATTCAACACACTTGCTTTGCGGAAAAAGCTCTTTAACTGTTTGAAGTGTAGGCCTTGCCTAT